TGTATATTTAATAAATGTACAGTATGTGAGACATAACCATTTAATGTATACTGAATCAAAGATGATAAAAGCTATTTCTTGCTCACTTAAGAGCACTGGGGTGATGTCCTTGTTCCCAAAACCATTAGAGGCTCCAGTGGAGAGGCTCCGTGTCCCCCCACCCGGGCAGCGGCCCCACTGCAGCCATCTGCCAGGGAACAGTGTGGCATGGGCTTGGAAGCCGTGTGCCACACTTCCACTCAGGACTGCTGGCTAGAGCTCTCGGGGACCACAGGGGCCTCCTCCCTACCGGTCCCAGTCGCCTGCAGAGCGGAGGTTCCAATCCTCCTCTCCCTCTCCTCCAGCTGATGAGTGCCTTATCTAAGGCGCGGTCTGCTGAGACTTTCCCTGGGACCCTCCCCATCCCCAGGAAGTTGCCCGCTGAGTTCTTGCCATCACAAGGCACAGTGAGTACCGACTTTCCTCACGTCTGTTTCTCAGGCCAGTCAGTAATTTCCACCTGCAGGGCGGGAAGCACAGCTCAGCATCTAGACACAGCACACGCCTTGGAGTGATAGCACAGGTGTGGTTTCCAAGTCACAAGGGCCGCTCCCCCGACAGCATTCCCACCCAGGCTCTGGGACGATCTAGTCACGTGGAGGGGTGACCGTGAGGGGCTCTGACCTCTGGGCTCATTGAAGAGCACGGGGTGGATGTCCTGGCTCCCTCACAGCTAAGCAGTACTGATGCGCACGCCTCAGGACCCACACTCCTCCACGTTCCTTCATATTGGGCAGCTGTGCTCTGAGGGTGACCCAGGTACTGGAAGCCTGGTCCGGTGTGTGGCTCGGAACCGTGGGCCCTGGTGAAAGGGTTGGGGCAGGAGAGGACAGGCCAGGCTCCAGGATCGGTGAGGCCCTGCAAGAGCTGTGGCCCTAAAGCAAGGCCGCCATGGCTAGGCCCTCGGTTGGGGCTGCTTCCCTTCTGTGCTGTGAGGCACTGAGGGGTCATCTTAGCAAATATTCTAGAATTCCTTCTTAGTGGCGGCAAGGGTGGGACATTACCTTCCAATCATATTAACACAGCTTTAAATAAATTTTCACTCTTAACCCTTGCAAAGATACACTGAGGCCATCTCGGATGGAAAGAGCTGAGCATCAGCAGAGCTAGAAAACAACTTGGCAGCACAGAGCACAAGGTATGGAAAAGTTTGGCCTGTCCCCTCCAATAGTCTATTTCTAGAATCATGCACTACATATTGATGTGACGATGTCAGTAAACCCTGACATGCGTACATGTTCATTAAAATAATCTCTAGAGTGCAATAAAAATAACCACCTCAACCTACAGAAAGGTGAAAATATTGAACGAACATCTCAAATAAATTGAGTCTGTGTTAACATAAACGAGTGAATAAGGGACTGGGAGGAAGTGACCTTGCACAGAAGGGTCTCTCTGGCTCTGCAGTGCTGCTCCCCAGCCTGGCTGTGGCTGCAGAGCCCCTTCAGAGAACGGGGGAAGGCGGGGAGGGGACGTCACCCTGGAGGAACCCGGTGCACACACGCTCAGCTGGGGACCAAACGCACCCTCCGCAGTGACCGCACACTCTGGACGGGGGCGGGAAGGCCAGGGTGAGCTTGCGTGGTCTTCCTCCCGAGCCCGAACAGACAAGGCCGCTGGTGCCGGCATGTGATCCCCTGGGAGGCTGTGACATGCGAAATCGCGAGTTCCAGCCCAGCCTGGGCAACTTAGTGACCTAGAGAGACTCTTCCGAAAAATGAAAAAGGGTGGAGGGCACAGCCCAGTGTGAAGGCCCTGGGTTCGATCTCTGGCAATGCAAACAGGAAACTCCAATCTGACCCCAAGAAAAGAGTTAGATAAATCCTGACTTGCACAGGGGTGCCTCAGTTCACGAACTTAATTTGCTCCGTGATTCTGGGGAGAGTGGCCAAGGCCGTGTTCATCACCCAGACAGAGTTTGTGAACTGAAGAAAAGTTTTGCCAAATGCTTCTGTTTGCGGAGTGAATTGCTGGCAAACAGAAGCATGTATGAGCGGTACCTCAGTTCACTGCATTACTACACAGGGCTATGCTAGAAAAGTCCTGACCCATCCAGGTCATCAAAACAGAGGTGAGTCTGAGACTACCGCAGCCTGAGAAGATGTAACAACATGTAGTGTTCCCTTGAGATCCTGGGAGAGAAAGAGGCATCCGGTAAAACGGAGGGAATCGGAAGAGAGCACAGGCTTTGGCAGGTACTAGTGTGCCATGCTCGCTCTGGAATGAGTACCGCGCGACAGGAGAGTCTTGGTGCAGAGCGCATGGGGCCTCTGTGTCATCTCATCTTGACTCCTCTGTAAATCTAGGGCTGTCCTCGTAAATAAAGTGTACCTTTAAAATACATTGAAACGTAGACGGCCACTGCGTGCTTGGCATATTAATTAATTATAATGGCTGGAATGTGCAGCCTGATGCGTGCACTATAGAGGAAAGTCACATCTCCTCGAAAATTCGAGTTCAGGGGCTCCTAGAGTCCATGCAATTTTCTCTTCCTTCAGAATAAAATCTGGGGAAAGCTGACCACTCACACAGGACCAGGCCGGCTGCGTGGTTCTGTGAGCGCCTGGCCTCACTGTGGATGTGGTGGGCCCAGGCACGCTGCCTACAGCCCAGAGGTGCCAGGCTGCTGCTGACTGGGGTGCTGCCTCCCGGTCAAAAGAGAAAGGGTTCTCCTCCTCCGCTTGTGAGCCCGTAAGAGCAGTGATCACAATAGCGGATATTCACGGAGCGCCAGGCACAGTTCTAGTCACTTTGCAGACACAAACTCGTTTACTCCTCACGATAATACTGGAGTTTGCTTTATGGCACTCTTGATGTTACTCAACACGTGCTTCTGTCCCCTTGCTTCACCCTGATGAGATTCTAAGGAGATTCGGGTTCACCTCCTGGGAACACTCACACATTCTCCTGCTTGGGGGAGCGTGTCTGCGGGGCTGCATTCTGCGGGTGACTGTGGTCAGCCGCTGTTCCCACACATCGGCTCCCCAAGCTTTGCAAACTGCTCAGTGCTATTTCTGTCGTCCCCTCTGGAACAGGTTCACCCCGAACGTCTCCTCCTGAACCGTTTGGTCAGTCAGAGGCACATTTATCTACTTCTTTCCTTTTATTTACCAATTTCAAAAATGAGCTGTGGCTTAGCGTTTTCCAGTAGTGATTAACAGAGGCTCTTCTCTGATATTATCGTGGGCCTGTAAGCATAAATGAGGCTGATCTATTTCCAAGGGCACACTGCCCTCAGTATTCTTACTGTAGTCACATTGCCGTGTCGAGCAAGCCTCTTCAGCTGGCTCCTGAGCCTTTCTGACATAATATTGTGTTTTCTGTAGCTTCCTTTCCTCAACCAGGACAGGACTTTCCAGAGTCATCGTGTGGATGCCACTGCAGACTTAGCTCCGGCCGGGGACCCTCCATACCCACGTGGACAGGGCCCCTACTGCAGTTTCCGTGGTCACACTGTTCCTGCATAGCCCTCAGAGTTTCTTAAGCATGTACCTGTCTATGTATTCACTACCTGGTCCCTTGTAACCCAGTACCTGCTGGGGGACAAAGGCATTCTGTCCTCAGCAGGTTTATCTGATAAATGAACCATTTATCACTTACTATGTGCAGAATATTGAAGTGTATATTTTATAAATATATGCACTAAAATATGCAAACAGTATACAAAATGTATTAATGTATCATAAAATAATATAATGTGAAAGACTGCAAACTAAAGTCATAATCTAATAATCAATCTAACCTATTAGGCTGCATGTTAATTATATTTCATTTCATACATTTTAATATATTTTTAAAGATAAGCTTTGTTTTTTGGAACAGACTTAGATTTATAGGAAAATCAAAATCACAAGAAGAGGCCCCATATACCCTGCACCTAGTTTCCATTTATTATAAACATCTTAATACATTCTTATCATATTTTAATATTATCATGAATTAGATACATTGTGCAGCTATAAATTACTCGAAATAAAGGGCTACCAGATTAACAGGAGTAGTTACATCTGAATGAACTACCTGTCACTTTTCTTATTTTTGCTTTTCAGAACTTTATGTTGTTTTTGTAGGAAGTAAAACAAATCAAACATTTTCAAAAACCACAAACTCGGTAGGAAGTGATTTTCAAGGGTGTGATCCTTGCTCCAAACTGAGATCTCGGGCTGGCGCGGATTTGAGCCTCACCAGGCCAGGTCCCCGCCGGCCACAACCTGGCACCCTGTGGGTCAGGAGCCAGGGAAGGCTGCTGAGGCCCTGCGCCCTGAGGACAGCGCTCTGGCTGTGCCTCCCAGGCTCCCAGCCAGGAGGATCGGACCCCGGCCCGGCTCCCATTCTCCTTCGCAGGAACCATCACGTCTGCTGGAGGCCTGGGTTCTGGGCAGGCCTCGCTTCCAGACCAGAGCGAGCTACTGCGGCGCTTGGCACAGTCCCGGGCGCTGAGTTTCCAAGTGCCCCGCCTGCCCGGCTGACCCCACACTACTCCAGGCAGGGCACAGCCCGCTACCTGCCTCAAACTCAGAATGAGCAGACGCTCACGCAGGCCGCCACCCAGCACCTTCGGGACAGACCGTGTTTTCCCCGGCCCTCCGTGAAAGACACCCAAAGAGGCCAAGAAAGCACAGTCCCCAGCAGCGGCGACACCAGTTTCACTCTGACTCCGGCTGTAAGGGGAAAAGCCAGCAGAGGCGCTGGTGAAACTGCTGGGAGTTTTGCAGTTGGAGGAGAAGGTGCTGGGCCTGAAACTCCCTGAGTGCCGCCCGCAGCTCCTTGCTTCCAACGGCCCGGCCGGAGGAAAGGAGAAGCTGCAGAGGCTGTTCCGGCCGAAAGGGCGGTGCACGGGGCGGACAGAGGAGGACTCAGCGTTCTGACCTCTCCGACACCCAAAACCCACGGATTTCGAAAGGACAGTGCAGGAAAGGGTCAGTCCTGTGACTGCAAACCAGGCCAAAGGCCCGGCTCACCTGCAGCTTGCAGAGCGCGGTGACTCACGGCTTTCGGAGGAGCGCGGGCACTGCTGAAGTCAGCTGCGCTGTCTCACTCATCTGGCTCAGCCAGGATGTCACGTCCTGCGGCCACTGTGACACGGAGAAACCGGGCAATGTGGGGCTGCGAAGGCTGATGGCGCTCTGCTCTGGCCCAGAGCTGTTTGCCCAGCTGGCAGCAGGTGCCTCCGATGACTGACTTCACGGGCAGATTAAGCAACAGGCAAGCGAGAGCCCTGGGGGCAGTGGTGCCTCCCAGGCTGACGTTCAAGGCCAGACACTCAAACCAGGCCCCCTGCCTCAACTGCAGGCAGGGGTGGGAGGAAAATGGGTCGCCTTTGAGGTCTGAGCTTCCGCTGGGGCTCTGATGTGCAGACCTCGGCTCTCTTTGTGTGTAAGGAGCAAGAAGCAGGGCTCAAAATGTCACGCAAGTCACTGCTGAAGGCTGTGGCCATGCTTAGGCCAGGGAAGAGAGGTGGTAGGTGGGGCCTGGGAGCTGCTTTAATACAGGAAGCACCGTCACACAGAACAGAACCAGACTCCACTCCAGAGACAGAAGGGACCAGCGCGAAATGCTGAGAAGAGACTTTCTTTCTGTGAAGTTTCTGGTAATTAAACTGCTGTAGTTTGGGTATGAAATGTCCCCAAAGGGGTGAACACACTGGTGCATTCTGTGATCCCAATGCTCTAGGAAGCTGAGGCGGGAGGATTGTAAGTTTGAGCCCAGTCTGGGCAAGTTAGCTACGAACAGAGAGCCTCAAAATAAAAAATTTTAAAAAGGCGATGAATGTAGATCAGTGCAAAATCCCTGGGTTCAGTCCCCAGTCACGCACACGCACGCAAGCACACAAGAATGTTTCTGAGAGGTCCGTGTTTGGATGCTGTGTTCATACGAAGGCTGGTGGGAGGTGCTGGAACCCTGCACGGGGCCCAGAGAGAGTTCTTCAGGTCACCAGAGATGAAGGAGTGCGGGTCTCCCGTCCCTCTCTCTCCCGCCGGCCTGGAGGTGAGCAGTTCTGCTGCACTGTGCACTCCCTGCCATGATTTGCAGCCCTGTTGCCAGCCAGAGGACTGAGGCCAGTTCTTCCTGGGCCGGAACCTGCAATTCTGGAGCCAGAGAGACCTCCGCTATGCAGAATTGGGTCATCTCGGGTCCCTGCAGTGGGGACGGCTGGTAACACAGAGCTCTCTGGGACGGAGGCTGTTGCCAGAGGAGTAAAGGGCGACCATGCACGTTGTTGATGACTGGAATCTGCCTGTGCCTCCCAGCTAGGTGCCGGGCAGCAGGTGAAGGCTTCAGACAGACAGGCAGCGTTCTCACGGCAGGCCTGGGCTCGCTCACCACTCCTGTGCCGCAGAGGAGGCTTGAGTGTGGTGACACGGAGCCTGCGGGCTGAGGAAACTCCTGGAGTTGCCCTCGGCTGCCTGCTTGTGCTGAAAACCTGTCAGCTGGCTCCAAAGCAGATGCCCCATCCATCGTGCTAAACGAAGCATTAATCCCTGGGGCCCCGGGAAGAAACTTGCTTTTATCAAACCCCAGGTCCCTGGAGTCTAAAGTCAGATTCTCTCACGTACAAAGTATTGTTAAATGCCAAGCATCTGATGGCATCCAGCACATCTCTCTGTGCTGGTTTCCTAATCGTCAACAGGAAGTCGAATTCAAGGGCCCTCCCTAAAACTTTGCTGGGGATCTCAGAAATTAAATTTTTGGTGTTTATACCATAAGACCAATAAGTCCAAAATTGTGGACTAAGTTTTCAGTCTCCCATACTTGTTTTGTGCCTCAAAATGTGGTCCAAGAATCCCAGGACTTCTCAAAATCTTTTTAGGGAACTGCAAAGACCAAGGTATTCTCATACAAATAAGATATACCCTTGCCTTTTTATTTTCATCCTCATGTCTTTGTAATTTTTCCTGAACATTGCATGTTCTGTGATAGCACAGTAAATTGAATGAAAAAGCAGATAGGCATCTCCAGTTGTCTTCAATGATGGCATGAGTTGAAGAGTTGTTCAAAATAATGAAATAATACCGTTTTATAGTAAGTTTGTTTTGGAAAATATTGCAAGCATAAAACTTATTTATGTTAATACAGTTTTATTTTATTATTGTTTTCAATAAGTTAATATATATCCCTAAATTTCTCATTTTTAATGTCTAGTACCATAAATATAATTAGATATCATCTGATAGCAAGACCTCTTGGGCACCCTCAAGACGTCTGTAAGACTGAATTTGTATGTGTGACATGTGTTTATGAGCTAAGCTCCAGTTCATTAGCACCTTGCATTACTGAGCGTTAAATCCTCATGCCTTGGGGATGCTCACTTGCCTCCATCTCAAACTTCTGGTGGCCATCATCCCGGAAGACCCCTGGTGGCTTCCAGGAACAGAAGGCCCCACCCTCCTTCTCCTGGGTTCAGCCTAGGTCAGGGCAGAACTGCACCCGAGGCCCAGCATCCTAACGTGTGCTCATAGTTCTTAGAAGGCTGAAAGTTTATTCCTTGAGCATTCGGCCTTCTTGTCTCATTGGTAGCTCCCCGTGTCTTGGACTTCCTGGTTGTCTGAAGAATATAACATTTAACCGCAAAATCCCCAAGTCACCGAAGCAGCTGAGATTTTTCTCCATCGGCAAGCTGACAATTGAGTCTGAGCCAACTTTGTGGGTGACAAGAGAAGACAGTGGACTCCTGGGCCAGGGCCAGGGGACCTTGCTGCTCACAGAAGAGCAGCAGCCAGGCATCATCAGTCAGACCTCTTCCCTGAGCCTTGTTTGCCCCGGGGCTGCTCTAAGCCGGTAGGTGAAGCCAGCCAAGCCGCGAGGGTTCCCGGACAGGACACTGCACTTGGGAACTCGAATCCTTCATGACCAGCCCTGAACCTGCCCGACCTTTGCCCCCAAGGGGAAAAAAACTTCGTCATGGTTGTGCTGGACAATACACGAGCCTGTCCTTTTCTCCAGCAGGGACGCCATCTCAGTTTGCTGCATAAACGTCCTTAAATACAAAGTCAAATGAAAGGTAACTAGCGTCTGTGCATGTGAGATATACAGAAACTCGAAAGACGGCGGGAACTTTGTGCCCAGAGCCACAGCTCCCGCTTGTATACAACACCCAAATCCTGGACTTGAATCTGCCCACTTTAATTTCTCCAATAGCTGGTAGTTTAGAGAATGATTGGCATTAAATCCCAACCAACTTTTTTCAGAATTATAACAAGCCGAAAACCTGGCTCTTCCATCTATTTAGAAATGATTATTCTCTGGCAGAATGTTCTAATTCTTTCCTTTTATTTATTAGTATTTACATATTTCCTAATACATATTACTCAATCCATAGATATTTCAAAACTCTCACTATGCCTACACATAACAATAATAATCAATAATAATACAGAAACAAATATCCCACAGATCAATGTGAAAAATAAACAGGGGAGAGAACAGATTGGAAAGCAAACCCTAACTGAACACTTCAGCCCAGTGAGTGCTTTGGGAGGAAATATAGATAAATAGTTCTCTGCATTTTTCAGAAGAGATATTCTTACTTTTGAATTAAATTTTTCCCCCTAAACCAAAGAAATAGGGTGTTACAACCAAAGTGTGACTTTAAAATCGCCTTGAATTTCTGGAAGCCTCCTGGACTGGGACAGCAATTTCTTCTGCAGAGATGACTCAGGCCACAGCAGGGAAGACACTGTCCTCAGCTGCAGACTTTCTGTTTCATCTCTGTACAGATGATAACTCAAAGCGCTCACTCTGTGTTTGCTTTAAGGACAGCCCGACCCAAAGCCATCCTTTCTCTGCACCAGCTGCGGGCTTGGTGGGATTCAGCTCTGTTGTCCCCAGCAGGGCTCCCGAAGCCTGGGCTGTGGACAGGCACTGCCCCGGCCCACAGGAACTGCGCTCACAGAAGTGAGGGACGGCAGGCTGTGGAAGCCGCACCTGTGCTGCAGCTCCTGTGGGCTCAGCACCCCCGTCAGACCAGCAGGGCTCCAGAAGGAGCTTGACGCTGACAGTGAACTCCCAGGAGGGGTCTGGGGTGCAGCGTGCTCTGAGTAACCCCAAGCTCTTCCCATCCCCCAGTCCTCAGAAAAATTGTCTTCCACAGAGTTGGTCACTGGTGCCACCAAGCTCCAGGGCTGCTGGCCTACATTGGCCCTGAAGAGCTTTCAGGCCAGCAGGAGGCACCAGGGGCTGAAGTGAAGAGCTGACAGGGGCCCACGGGGCCACCCGAGTGCCAGCATGGCCTGCACGCTCTGCCCATAGACAGACCACACTGACCCCAAGTACAAGTGTGTGGGGGATGAGAACGTGGACAGAGGTCTCCATATTCAAGGTAGGAGCTCTGCGTTTCTAATGACTTGTTGGTGGGAAGACTGGTGTCCTGAGAGTCCTTGAGGTGGGAGGAAAGCCTCTGGGCAGTACCGGGCCCTCTCAACCACCTCATCTGGAGATTAGTGGGCACCACAGCAGGGAGAGCCTGACACTGAGAGTCGGGCACAGCTGGGCTCTAACTCAGATTCACCAGGATCCAGCTGTGCCACCACCGCAAGTCACTCTGTGGGTTTCAGTCACTCCTGGGAAAGGGGGCTGCACAAAGAGCCGGTGCTCGGCTCCTGGGCCTTCAGTGAGCCGGCGGTGTGCTAATGAACAGTGTCTGCACCCAAGCCCACCCGCACTGGGCACACTGAGTCACCAGCTTCTGCAGGGCGATGGGCCACGTTGCAGGCCAGAGCTCCGCGGGCTGTAGGGCTGGCTGCAAGGAGCGTGGGTTTGGGAGTCGTTGCTGTGTTTGTCAGAGTCCCAGCCCTGAAGGGAGTACCCAAGACAGCCAGTTTACACCCAGGAGGAGGCTGCTGGGCTCACTGTTGCAGAGGTTCCGGTCCAGGGTGCCATTGCTTTGGCTCCACGGCTTTTGGGGCTGTGCAGCTCAGGACTGCGGGAAGGTGTGGGGAGCAGAATCTCATAATCTCATGGCTGAGAAGTGACAGAGGGCAAGGGGAAGAAGCAGGAGGCCCGCTGTGGCCCTAAGGGCAAACCCCAGGGTCCTGAGGACTGGAGCACCAAGCCTCAACACAGGGGCCGGGGCGGCCTGGATGTATTGTGCAGAAGCCACCGTTTTCTAGACTAGAGGAGAGAGGAAAACAGTTGGGTTCCTCACAAAGGTCGGAAGCAAGCAAGCTGTAGGGTTCCAGCCTGCTCCTCGCCAGAAGCACGGTTGTCGTTTTCTCCCACCTGCGCCCAGCGTCCTCAGCAGCTGCTGTGGCTCACGCTTAGCTCTTAGCTTGGGCCAGGCATCTGTGTGGGGTGGGGCCCCAGAGGGGATGCAGTGGCTCCGGTAAGGCCCTGAGTGCACAGGAGACTGGGGAAACCTTTGAAAGCTGTGCCCGGGACCAGTGGAAGACTCCCAGGATGGCCTTTGTCTCTTTCTCTCCTTCCTTCTCTCACCATACTGGGACGGTTCCAGGGGCCTTCACACGGCCCCGGCCCCAGCCCTTTTTTCCATTTTTCATTTTGACACAGGGTCTCACGTAGTCACTGCGTTGCCCAGGCAGGATTTGAACTCATGCTCCATCTGCCCCAGCCTCCTGGAGTGCTGAGATCACAGCACACGCCTCACTCTGGGATTCTGTGACCCCTCATGGGAATAAAAGCCCACAGGGTGTCTGTCAGGGGCCTGCAGCAGAGCAGTCTCCTTGTCCTCCCAACCTTTCCCCTGCGTTTGTACTCCCTGGCTCGCCT